CCATGCACGCCTTTATTGCGCGTGGTGGGAAGAAAAATCACGGCTGAGGTGTCCTTGAAAGAGGGCACCTACCATGCACGCCTTTATTGCGCGTGGTGGGAAGGCCCAGTTTTCTCGTAGTTTTCCCCTAAACGGGGGAGACGCCGGGAGGCTACCGAAATTTCTGGTGAAATATTACTACACTCGGACCTGGTTTGAACTCAAAAGAACAAAAGATTTGGATTAAATAAGAAAGAGCAGTGGACTTTTGAACAAGAACAATGACTTGTAGACCGTCGAAACTTGATTGAAAACATGAGCAGAGGACCGGAACAAAATTCAAAAAATTTCTAAAAATTCAAACTCAAATGAAACAAAATCAAAGTTGGAGCCAAATTCAAGTCATTTTTGAACATAAAACTGAATCTGCAAAGATTCCAGAAGATTTCGAACAGTCATTTGAACATACACTCAGACTCAAATTCAAATTTACTAAGTGTGGAATACACTAAAAATTGAACAAGACCTCGACACGTATAGACGAAGAACGTGGTGGACTTTTATAACAGTCCCTACGAGATCGGGAGCATCGTACCTGCGGGAATAATGAATGGCCGTTGAATACACGGGTGTCCCTCCCACATATACTGTTGAAATCTCCTACGACAATTTCTACAAACGCCTGTTGATTGAGATGGCGATACGGGAGACTAATGATGGAGGATCCGCCCTCCTACAAACAAGTACAACCCGACAAACCCACCCGAGATTGGTGAAAGGGTGGAAAAGATGCGGAAATAATATATCTGCTACAAATATATTCAGGAGGTCGTAGCGGATATAATGGTCCTCCGCCTACAAGTCACTTGTGGATAACAGCAGTGGGTACTTCGTAAACATATCAAACCACTGTGGGCACAAATATCTCCTACGATGATCCCTACGATTGTCTATTGACTGAGAAGGCAATACTGGAGATCAGCAATTAAAGATCCATCCTCTACAGATAAATGTAGACATCAGCCCACATGAGATTGGTGAAAGGTAGACACAATACTGATGTCAATAGGTCTCCTACAAATACCTTCAGGAGGTCGTAGTGAGTACAACAGTCCCCTGCAAATGGCTACAAACAACTTGTGGATGACAACAGTAGATATATCGTAGGCACGACGAACCACTGTGGGCACAAGTATGAATATCACCTACAGCAACGGTGATCAAGATCTACAAGTATTTCGAGTACAACGACAATCCGAGGTACGAAAAAGTCCACTACACTAAAGATCTCGAAATGAGATCTTTTCAAAGCAAAGCAGCAATCAGTGGACTTCAAAGTCCAAAAGAAAACCTTCCCTGGTGAATGAGAAAGGGGGAGGTGGTCAACATCAAGACCAAAACTCCACCGGATCTGCAACATCCATACAAGCAGACATAAGGCGTCTATAAATATTCCAAAAATACCCCTGCACGTGCACTGTAATTTGTATACACATAGGTACACTAAAAAGGGGTAAACTACAATTCCAAACCCGCATGGGCCCCGGCGAGCGTGTTATTGGTACACACGTGACGTTTAGGGATGCTGCGCGGGTCAACAAGTGAATTCAAATTCGAATCCGATCCTTCTATACATATCAATAGGAGTCGACAGGGTTCGAACCATTAAGCAAATATGTGGTCGTAGTGACCAGAATATTTGTTTTAATACATTTAGATTAGGCTTTCAAAGCCTAAAATCAAAAGAATTCACTCTCAAGGGCATAAAGCCTACGAAACCCGATCCTTAGTGAATAGTTCGGCTGAGTTGACAATGTTCAAGCTACAAATAGAAATGTCCCCAAACACCCCGATGACGTGTTGATTTCTTATCTCAACCGGAGGGGTTCACAAATATTTTTCAAATGTCATTCCAAATACTCAAAATTACATCCAAATACCCACAAAAATAAAAAAAAATCCAAAGCTCCACCCAAAATCCCAAAAAAATGAAATAAATCCATCAATGTTTAAAGCAAAACCCATCCACCCTCGCAACAATTTGTTGAGGTGGACAAATTAAAAACTACTTCAGCTCACAAAAGAGCTAAATGCCTAGTCAAAAATATTACTAGGATCCATTCTCAAAAAGTCTCCTGCCAGTAAGGACGTGGTACGTGCCATCTAACCGGCGTTTTGCCGCCAAATGGCACCGCAGGATAAACGGTTATGACTCGGGGCCCTCTGAACCGAGTGGTTTTGCTGCCAAATGGCACCACGAAATACCGGTTATGACCATCGCCGTTACTTTCCTTATTGGCATCAAATCCTTGAGATATGATTCAATAGGATATGATTGATAGGGCACAAAGCCCTCTGTTAGCTAAGGTGGATTCAAATTTGTCCCCTTAGACAAACATTCACCCCCGGTCTACAAGGTACCCTTGGACGAAGCAACCTATGGTTGCCGACAAGGATCCTTCTGTCAGGTTGGGTCGACTACCTCCTCTGACTAAGTAGACCAGGGTCCATGATGGCCCGGGACGGCGGAACCATGGGATCTTGATCGGGCCCATCATCCATTCCCCCACCATCCGCTTTAAGTACAAGATGGTAAAATTTCTATTTTTAAATATCAAATTTCCAAACATCCAAACTTTCCAAATTCCCAAATCCAGTTCTCCAATCTCAAACCCGTGCTGCTACTATATGCCAGATAACACGTATTCTTTATAGGTACCTGATTGACGACTAGCCTTAATCGAAAGTTCTCTCTCGTTATCGAGAGGGGTAATTAACTATAGCGGCTTGCGCCTATAGGAAACCAGAACTCAGACCATAAAGTCCTCGCAAAAATGAGGGCGAAATCTCTGGGTAGTGTCTTATCTACAAACCCATCTGCCTTTCAAAATTTACCCTGAAACTTATGCGTTAAAACTCCCTTGCCGAAATAAACAAAAAAAGAAATCGCGCGGCGGGGAGGCCGGGGCCGAATTTTCGGAGCCCACATCCACAAATGTGGTGCATTCATGATGCATGGGGTATCTTGCACATTTGTCGGGATATCATCTATTTGTTTTGCTCACATCTTTGTCCTTCCACACTAGCAATAATATTCATTTTTTACTTAACTCCCTTTTTGCAAGTTTGAAATATCTCCCACTCTTCTTTGATTATCGTTGCTCTTGAAATTTTATTTTAACACAATCTCATCCATTGCTTGAAGGAGGAGGCAGAGAGTTTTATCATCATTTTTACTTGAATCCTTGTAGGCTTCCT